GAAATTGTGAGAAGGTCGTTTACAAATTATACTGTTTCTTTTCATTTACCCATACTTCCATAACTAAGTTTTTAATGTGTTAATGACAAAAAAATTTTTTTGAAGGTCACAAAACCAGCATAATTTCCCCACTGATTACTGCCGGGTTTCAGCTTACAACAGTCATTTTATGATTTGCCATGGAAAGTGAGGACTATCTTATTCCCTTAAATAAACTGTTTAGTCAAATGATTTATTTTTATACTTTTTAAAACAAATTTCTAAAAACATTTAGAGTAAGTAATGCCCTTAATGGGAGAAGGGGCTAGATGATTGCATCAATAGTTCTAACAGCTGAAAGCCAATACCACAAAGTACATATTTTAGAAAAATTTAAAAGAAACAGTCTAGAGTTTTAAAAAGTAACATCCCTCAAAAGTCCTAAGGTCATCATAATAATGTACATGATGCTCATAAAGATATCTTTTGAAGTATCAAAGACCATATAGAAAAGGTACATTCAGCACCCTATTTATATTTATGCATAGGGCGAGATGATACATGGCAGACTCTGGGGGAAAGACAGCACCATTCTTAGGTCCTCTTGAAGCCTCATATAATCGTTAACTACAAAGCAAAACCACAACATCAAATGCATTTACCAGATAACTAAACAGCAAGTTGTCCCTCACTCCCAAACTCAAAATACGAGTACCAAGAAACAAACCCCACAGCCACAAACCTTGAATTTAGGATATCTGTGTAAGAGAAACCAGGAAAGAAACAAACTAGAATCCCTAAGGAATTGGAGACAAAAGACTTACATTTAGAGGTGAACCAGAAGAACAAATTGAGGAAGCAGAAGAAAGTGAAGATGAAGTTGAAGACCCTGCTCTTGACAGTCTCAGTCAAGCCATAGCTTTCCAACAAGGCAAAATTTAAGAAGAAAAGATGGAAATCCGGTTGAGAATCTTTCAACATCAGATGATTCGAGACATCCAAGGATCAAGAAAAGTATATATTTCAGTGATGAGGAGGAACTTCATGACTACAATATTTTTAATCTGTAAATACCATTAAAATGTTGTAAAATCTTGGAGTACACTGTTCAGTTGTGAACTACAGGTTACTTTTAGAAGTTTTAGCTTAAGAATGCTTGTTACCAAATTTTTACTATAAAATAGTTCATAGGAAAGTGAAAATAATTTTAAAGTATCATGTTTCTATCTTACCCTAGCAGAGTAATGTCAACATCTGTTAATAACTATTAAGTCTGAAAATATTATTTTAGTAATGTTACTGTCTCAAGTAAGAAAGTACATTACAATGATTTCTTTCGAGACTCATATATTTAGAAGGCTCATATCAGATTGGTTTGCATGAGTGCTTTGGAAATAAGTTAAATGTTTAACACAAAACTTTCCTAAAAAACTGAAAAGATGGAATGGTTACTAAGGGTGTGGGATACTGGTGCAAGGAATGCAATGTCGGACCAGTCTGAGTTTCTGGATATAAGACCCCTAAGCACAGATTCGTCTTTCAATTTCTCTTGCTCTTTGATGATCGAACCAGTGCTGGGGACACCCAACCCGTGAACTATGTTGCTGTTGCTTGAGGTTTCTTCAATACCTGCTTTGCCATGCTACTGGAATATACATCACTTGACTGGGGACTGTTGGGCCCTGTCATCTGGCTGACTGTTGATGACCTACCTGCCTTGCTGTTTGCTGCCTGTGACCGGATTGTCTGAATTGCTCTACAGAGGACTCAGCTTCCTTGACTTGCACCTCAAGACTTGAAGAAGGACTGCCAGTGTATTAGCTTGTCTCACAGAAGTGAGTTGCACTGAGCCATTTGTACTGCTCCATAGACTAATTATCCATCTATATAAATATACATAAAATCATAAGTGTCCTGGTTTTGTTTCTCTAGAGAACCCTGTCTAACACAGAAGGTTATCCACAGTTTGAAAGCACAACAGTTACTTTAAGAACAGCAATTGCAGTAG